ATCCTGAAATAACAACAATGATGGGTCAACCCCACGAGCAAGTCCTCTCTACTATGACTTAAATCAGAGAATCAAATAAATTAATCATTTATATCCGGATGAGTACTATATCTGTATACATCCTAATGGAACTAGCCAATGTATAACATGACCTCAACCAGAATAGGCGGTGATCACTTAGACTCACACTAGGTGGTTAAGTGTCGCCTTTCCCTACCCGGGAAATCAGCTATTATACATGGTGCACGATACTGACAACACAGACTATAACGAACTACACAGTGATAACACCTCTCAATATACTAATGAATATACTGAGCATATCAATTAGGCAACACATACCAACAATATTAATAAATATACCGAATATGTCAATTAGGCAACACATGCCAATAATATTAAACCACATACCCCGATAGCCACACATCTGTCTATCGTAACGAATGCATAAGGTATAAATGAGTCAGCTCACATGGTTTTATATGGCAACACATCCATATAATATAAATGCGACATAATTTAAACAGTCCATTTATTTTCCGGAAATGCACACAGCATAATAATAATGAGTTGTATATCATTAACAACATAAATAATCCTGCAATGTATAACGGACAATTTATTTGAATTAAAACCATGTAATTTAATTTTAACATTAATGATTAATACCGTTTAATAAAATAATAACACAATTAATAATTAACAATGTCATTAAATTAACTACATCCGTTGAATGGTGATCTGTATTGAAAACGATACAATTATTATTTAAAAATAATAATCGGACATAATAATAACTAACGGGTAATAAAATAATAATTTAATGTCCCGTTAAACCCGTAAGTACCAACCATAGGCCCAAAAATGCAAGTTTAAGGTTCTAGAAATTACAAAACAGTCCCTAGGGGTATTCTGGACTTTTCCAGTAGCTGTAGGGGTCCCTCACGCGCCCCCACGCGCCTCCCAGAGCTTCCCACACGCGCCTCCACTATTCTCACACGCGCACGCGCTTGCACGCGCCCCCACGCGCGTCTGGAATCAGTCACGCGCGCGCACGCGCTGCCATGCGCGCAGTAATGCATCCTGATGACGCGGCACTTGCCGATTCGTTGGTTGCATGGTCTTGCTATGGGCGCGCTACACTAGATGAATCTACCTAATCCAACGGTTCTTGATCCGGGTGTACTGCAGTAACATGGACTGCGATGCACCGGATCAATCAGACTCTACCAATGGCCAGGATGCACGCGCGCACTAACCTACAATGCGCCACATCACACCGGATCACTCCGGTCATCTTCTTCACTGCCGGTGGCCGGAAACCTTGTCGGAGGCTCGCCGGAAATTGCAGAAAAGCCCTGGAAAAATCTAGAAAATTCTAGAAAAATCCCTAAAGCCTTATTTAATTATTTTCAGCTATATTTTAATTACATAGGCTAATAAATAAATATCTAACCTCTTTAATAATTAAAATCTCATTATTTTAATAAACTAAAAATTAATTTATTGAAATTCCTAGCATGGTTTCTAGTCTCTAAAAACCCGAAATAAATTAAATGAATAATTTATGGATTCAAAGGGGAAAAGTAGATAACAACTTGCCTTATGGATTTAAAATAAATCCGCCGGTTGTGCGTCGTCGGGTAAAATCGCCTACACCGGTCCAAGCTTCTTGCTCTCTCTTTTTTCCTTTCACTCTTATAAAATAGCTCTCTGTAATTTTTAAGCTTTCTAACTTAAGTGAGTTGCCTTAAGGGTAAGTTGGCTAACTAATATATATATACAACTTATATAATATATATAATACAAATATCTAAATTTTCATTAACTTTCAACATTCCCACCTATATGGCTTTAAGTCTTACCCATAAACATTAATGAAATCCTATCCTAATCTCTAATTTCATCATGACGATTTAATACTATTATTATTATTATAAATATTATTATTATTATTATATTATTATTATTATTATTATTATTATTATTATTATTAAACTATTATTATTATTATTATAAATATTATTATTATTACATAAAAATACATTGTATCATCATAATACTATATAACACAAATATAATACTTTGATTAACTAATAATGCTTAATTAAACATAATCAACAAATAAAATTATTAATAATAATACATGCACCATTAAATGAACTCAATATAAGAATGGTAAAGAAATCTACACATTAATTAATTAAATAAACTAAATTCTTTAATAAAATACGGGGTATTACACCCCTCTCCCCTGAGAAAGCTAAACCCACCCGCCACTGATATTTTTTGAAATAAATTATAATTAGCAATGATAAATTTCTATGGTTTTTTAATCAAAATTATGAGCAAATAAATTAATGATAATTTTGACCATTATATATAAGTAAAGATACTAATGTTAGCAGCTGCAAATATTCATCTAGCAATTGAGAATATTTATTCTTTAAATTTATAATTTAGTTTACTTAATCACTCCCTTATAAATGGTGTCTTTTTAATGATCAATTTACCCGACACTTGAGGGGCCGGTACTCAGTCAACAACTTCTTATGACAAAAGTTACTTCTAATTTTTTGCTTCAATTTCCAAAAAAAAAAAAAAGTTACTTCTAATTTAAATAAATAAATAAAGAAAAAAAAGTCTAATATGTGTATCACATTGCTTAATTAGCATTGGATTAAGTATAAGTCTAATACACTCCCCCACATGCAGGGGTCAATCCTGTGGTATTAAGGCGATCGCCTAAGCCCTTGAATTTGAAATGAACTCAAATTTAGGTCCATAGTGCACATATAGTAATATATATATATATATATATATATATATATATGACATGAGTAGTGATGCTCCAAGAAGTCTAATATAATATATATACTTATTTCCATGTTCAATAAGTGATTATAATTTAAATTAAATAATGTTGTATTTTTCATGGTAACATTTATAGAGTTTGATTTCTAAATAAAAAATTAAAAAAAATCTAAAAATAACATTTAAAAATACGTTTCCTATGTCCTATGTATGGAACAAAATTTTCAATACACACATACTTAGATATAAAATAAACCGCATTGCAAAATTCAAACTTTAAAGAATTTAGTAAAAAAACTTCTTATATTCTTTTTTTTTATATATATAATCTGTTTTTGTTTCAATTTAAGCAATTCTCTCTATTGTCTCTCACCCTTGCAACTCCATCTCTCTCTCACTTTATGCAATTTTTTTTGTTTCTCTTACAATCGTCTCTCATTTAGTTTTCCAAAAAAGTAAACAAATTATTAAAACTAGAAACTTGAGCTGTTATATATCCCACCAAATTCAATTTGCGAGTTCAATATAATACGTAATTTTACTTATTTTTTACTAATTAATGTAATAAAAAATCAAATACTTCTCTTTCCAAGGATTTTTCTGCATGTTTTTTGTCTCTCTCTTTTATCTTTTTTTTTTTTGCGTTTATCATTCATGAATTTTGGACTTACACAAGAAAGATGATGTGCCAATTTTTTGATTAATTTAAATTTTTTTTTTTTTTTTAAATTTGGAAATTCTAATAGAAATGTTTTACTAATTGGAGATTGATTATTTAGTATAACACAAATTTTGCATTTGCTCTAATTTACCGCATTGAAAGACTGGTTGATAATAAATATATTAATGCGACAGAATGTTACACTTAGTTTCTATGTGATCCAGAAAATTAAATAAATGTTGTATTTGAAAAATTAGAAGTTTTCAGTAATTAAATAAGGGTATGTCCTTTTTGTATCATGTTAAAAATTAAATATTCTTTTATATAAGTGGAGAAAAAAAAAAAAAAAGCACATTTATTAAATCTAGAAGACGACAAAATATGTGTAACTTGTGTAATCAAATCTAAATTCACTGTTGTGCTGGAACGTCACCTATTATTATTAATATCCCATGTGTAATGTGTATATATGTGACATACCTCTTTGAGTGCGTGTCTCTTTCACACAGTAGCGAATAAATTACGGTTGGCTCTTGCTTTAGTGTGACAGCATGGGTCCTTTGCTTTTTTACACTCAATATCTATCATTTTTGATAAAGATGTAAATAAAAATAATAATTTAATAAAACTTTCCTTCTTTTTTTTTTTTTTTTTTTTTTTCCTCATATTGGGTTCCACCACAAGTCAATAAAAAAAGCTATACCCTTCAAAATGATTCCTGATCGAGAAGCATCTAGGGGGAGCCTATGAGGAATATAATCCAAAGTAGTAGCTTATTTATTTATTTTTTTAAATGCACTCCCAAGTTGAAACTAAATTTTAGATAATATTATTTAGAATTTTATTATATATTATTTTTTCATATTTTAGTATATTTAGTCAATATATTTAAGAATATATTCATATTTGTGAAGTTTTTGCAATTTACTTGACCAGAAAATTAAAGATTGAAAGAGTTTTTTTTTCTGATACTAAAAGGCATGCAGTTACGTAATATAATCTATTCATTCTCAAAAAACGAACAATTGTAATAAGCTGTAACAGCATCACAATTTAATCACAAAACAAAATTTGAAGCATTTATGATTAAGTTTTCCCCCCTTCTAAGTGTGTACTTAAGTTCAATACATTTACCCTTTCATGTCCCTATTTTGTGTTTATATTATTTTTTTCTTCTTCTTTTTTACTATATTTATTTGTTTTTGTTTTCAGGTAAATTTTAGTTTTTTTTAGTAAATTATTTTTATTTGAATTATTCGAATGAGACAACCTTTTCAATCTCTGATTTGTTACCAGAAAATTTGATTTACTTTTATCTATTTTATTGTCCCAAAAATTTAAAATTCCAAGAAAAAAAATTTACCACTAAGCTTTACTTCTTCCTCCTTAATCAAAATATGGAAACATTGAAGACGCTTTTCACTGCTGAGGCTTGCCCTTAGCAATAATATCACAGTCAACTTTCTCTCTCTCTCCAGGCTTTTTACAGTTGCTCTCTCTCTGTCTCTATTGGCTTGTGTTGCAGTATTTATAATAAGTGTGGACTGAGAAGGGAGAACCGGACCCTGCATTAATTGCCAGGTACAACATTTTGTAATTTTTTTTATTTTATTAAACCAAAACGTTACCAAAATATTAAAACCAAAAACAAGATGAGCTGTAATTTGAAGTACCATTTACTAATTAATTAAGACAATCAAAAATCAATTACTGATCATTCATTAAAGTAATAGTTTATTTGTTCTATTGGAATGAGAATCCAACATTTTATTTTCCCCAAAACCCCTATTGAGTGTGACCTATTATCAGAAGTTACGTTATTTTTCAAAATTTCCTTGATCATTTATTTTTGGACAAGTGTAAAAAACACTCCTAAACTATATTCCGCCCAACACTTTTACCCATATTTAAAAAAATGTGCAAAAAAACACCCCTAATCTTTTCATATTGTGCAAAAATATCCCATCTGATATAAATTAGTGCTGTAATACATGTTTTTCCCTTTTACTCTTCCGAAAATGCCCAAGGGGATATATATGCTATTAATTTCATACTATATAGGTGTTATGTGCACACTACACATTACCTTATATTTTCTTTTTGAAACATTTTATATATATATATATATCTCTAAACATTTTTTAAAAAAAAAACTTTGAGAATTTGTAGAGCAAGGTTTTGAATTTTTTGAGATTCCAATTTACTCTTTTCAACTAATTTTTTTTCTTTATTTTATTTTTTTTCGTACCAACACTGTTAAACCAAAAAAAAAAAAAAAAAATTCCAATATCAGTGTGCCCTTGTTTTCGGAGTTTGGAAAAATTTTATTTTTATTAGTTTGTAGTTTTTTATTTTTATCTTTACTTTTCTTTTAGACTTTTATTTTTATTTTATGTTTTTACCTTTACTTGTCCATTGCCAGGTTTCTCCAATAATGTCATTTTCGGTTATTTTATAAAATTATTTATTTTTATATATTTTATAAAATGGTTCAGAAATGGTAATTTAGTCAACTTAGAGTTTAAATTTGTTAGAGGGACCTATTTGCACCAGATTGAAACTTTAGGAGTGTTTTTTTGCACGAGAGGGACATCCTCCAATAATGTCATTTTCGGTCATTTTACAAAATTATTTATTTTTATATATTTTATAAAATAATTTAGTAATGGTAATTTAGTCAACTTAGGGTTTAAATTTATTAGAGGGACGTATTTGCACCAAATTAAAACTCTAGGGATGATTTTTGTATGTGAATGGTGTGATATGCACTTAAATATAATTTAAGAGTATTTTCTGCACTTGACCGACACTGAACTATTCTTCTACCTCAAACCTTACTCATGTGTCAAAATTAATACTATTGGGTTTCCGCCATTAGTTGGCTACGATTTGACAGTATATAAAGATTTGAATTGTGAATTTATTATATCTTTCATTTCATATGTGGTATCTCCTACTCTCCCTTGTTGGAACTTATACTAATTATTCAATTATTGTTTTGAAGACACAACTTTATTTGTTGATTGTCATATAACCCTCAAAACAAACAGAGATTTCGGAATCTCTACTTAAGTAATGCATATTACTTGTTTATATTATGTAATCTGCATCATATATATATATATTTCAATTAATTCATACGTTTCTTCAATGCAAAGCGAAAAATTATGTTTCGGTTAGGGTACAATCTTATCATCAAATATTGTTGCGTATCATCAAATTTTTTTTTTTTTTTTTTGAGATAAATCTCTACGAAAGAGTGAGAGACTTTGTGAGAAACCAAAAAAAGAAGAAGTACATAAAGTAAGAGAGAGAGAGATGGAGTTGCAAGGGTGTGAGACAATAGAGAGAATTGCATAAATTGAAATAAAAAAAGATACAGAAAAGAAGAATATAAGAAGTTTTTTACTAAATTATTTAAAGTTTGAATTTTTCTATGCTGTTTATTATATATATAAATATGTGTGTATTGAAAAAAAAATTACATGTTATTTTTATTTATTTATTTATTTTTGAAAATTAAACTCTTTAAATGTTACCATGAAAAATGTAACATTATTTGATTTCAATTATAATCACTTATATATTTATACCAAAGAGTGAGAGACTTTATGAGAGAAACAAAAAAATTGAATTTCAATATTCTTTTCCCTCCTCTAATTATAATTCCTTTTATTCTATTTAACAAATAAGTTTTTTAATATTATATATTTCTTTATCCAATTATATTTCTTTTTATTGAATTTTTGTATTTTTAGTTTTTTAATTGTATATATTTCCTTCACTAATTAGATTTTCTACTACTCTATTATTAAATATATTTTTTAATATTATAAATTTTGTTCTCTAATTAGATTTTCATTTATCGAATTTCAATATATATATTTTTTATTCTGGTTTCCTTTTATTGAATTTCAAATATTTTCTATTACTATACTATTATTATTATTATTAGTATTTTCAGTACTATATTATTAAATAAATTAATATACTGAAACACTGAAAACAATTTTTGTACTTTTAATAATAAACTTAATATTGTAGATAAATATATTTGGAAGGTACATTGTCCCATGTTATTGCAGCAACCATATTAACTTATTGGAGCAATTTCTTTCATGATGCTATCGTGAGGGCACCCGTAATCCAAAGTAGCTTTACTTTGTCCAATGTTAACTGGAAAATGCTATACAAAATTATTAAATAAGTTTTTTAAAAAAAAAAAAATTATACAAAAATTGCTTTATCGATTAAATAAGTTTTTTTTTTTTTTTTTTTTATATATAAAATTCTTCTTCTTTTTTTTTTTTTTTTAATTATATTTGAGTATAATTATACTAATTTTACTTTTGCTGTTATTTTAGAGTGTTGATTTTAAAGAATTTTCAATTCTTTGTTCTTTGATACTGACTATTGACTATTGAGTTTTTTTTTTTTTTAGTTTTTTAATATTTTGATTTAGAAGAATTTTTAATTATATCTGAGTACGATCTATTGATTTTACTTATTTTTTATTTTTATTTGCTTGTGAATTTTGATGGAATATGTTTAGTCTAATTTAGAGTTTTTGATTAAGTTTTTTTAAAAAAAAAATTATTTCTTTTATTATATTCTAATATAATTTTATTGATTTAATTTTTATGTTATTTTTCAAGTTTTTTATTTAAAAGAATCCTTAATTCTTTCTTCTATTCTATTTGAATATGATTCTATTAATTTTACCTTCGTAGTTATTTTTAAATTTTTTTATTTTATTGTTAAATTTGATAGAATAGATTTCGTGTAATTTACGGTTATTGATTAACTTATTTTTAAATAAAAAAATTATTTCTTTTACTCAAATATGATTCTAGTGATTTAATTTTTGCCATAATTTTTTTTAGGTTTCAATTTACTCTTTACTCAGCAACTTAAAGAACAAGAAAATGGCTGAAATGGTGGTTGGAGCACTTCTCTCGGCTTCCTTTGACGTGCTGCTTGATCGTCTGGTTTCTCCGGAGTTCAAAAGCTTCTTTTCCAAACAAAAATTTGATGATGGACTCAGAAGCAATATGAAGACAAAGTTACTGGCCCTTCAAGTAGTGTTGGGTGATGCCGAGGACAAGCAGATTACCAACCCGGCAGTGAAAGCTTGGCTGGACGAGCTCCAACATGTTGTCTACCAAACTGACGACTTACTGGACGAGATAGCTACCAAGGCCTTGAGGCACAAGTTGGAAGCTCATGATCAAAGCAGCGCAAGTGTGGTTGGTCGATTTCTCCATCTAATGAAGCAATTTCTGTTACCAATTAATTGTTTTGTCTCGACTCCTGCTTATCATTCTGATAATGAAATAGAGTCCATGATGAAAGAGGTCATCAATAAATTGGACGAGTTCATCAACCAAAAAAATTCTCTTCCTTTGGAGAGTGTTAGAAGACAAGGAACTTCCTCCACACAAAACAACAGAGATGAAACTTCCATAGTAAATGAGTACTCTCAGATTTATGGGAGGGAAGATGACAAAAAGAAGATAATGAAATTGTTGACGTTGTCCGACAATAATGCAACTGGGAATCAGATTCCTGTGATCTCCATTGTTGGAATGGGTGGCTTGGGAAAGACAACCCTTGCTCAACATATATACAATGATACTGAAGTACATGAGAAATTTCATTTGAAAGCATGGGTTTGCGTTTCCGATTCATTTGATAGTTGCAGGATAACAAAGAAAATTTTGGACGATGTCACCGATACAAACAATAACATCGACAACATTGACAAGCTTCAAATCAAGTTGAAAGAGAGCGTCGCTGGGAAAAAATTTCTTATTGTTTTAGACGATGTTTGGAACGATGATTATATTGCCTGGGACGGCTTAAGAAAACCTTTCATTGGTGGAGCACAGGGAAGTAGGATTATCGTAACAACACGCAGTGACAAGGTTGCATCAGTAATGGGCGCCATTTCTAGTCATCACTTGGAGCCACTGTTGGTTGACGATTCTTGGTCATTATTTGCAAGTCATGCATTTGTGAATGGAGGTCATATGCCTAATTCAGAGCTAGAGAAAATTGGAAGAGAAATTGTGAAGAAGTGTGGAGGCCTGCCTTTAGCTGTAAAATCACTTGGGGGTCTCTTGGGGCCCAAACAGGATATTGAGCACTGGAAAAAAATACTGGAAAGCAAGATATGGGGTTTGAAGGAGAAAAACGTTATTCCAGCTCTAAGATTGAGCTATCAGTATCTTCCTTCGTATTTAAAGCGATGCTTTGCATATTGTTCGAAATTTCCTAAAGATTACGAATTTGAGAAGGAGAAATTAGTCCGGTTATGGATAGCCGAAGATCTTGTGCCGCAGCAGCCCAAAAGCAAAAATTCAGTGGAAGAAGAAGGTAATGACTACTTTCATGAACTACTATCAAGGTCATTCTTTCAGAGATTAAGTGACAGTCCTTCCTATTTTGTAATGCATGACCTACTCAATGATTTAGCTCAAGATATATCTGGGAAGTTCTGTGTTAGGTTGGATGATGACAAACCACTTCATAATATATGTGAAAAAGTTCGCCATTTCTCATATCTTCAGTGCGAATATGATGCATTTGAGAAATTCAAGGTTATTAACAAGGTTAATTGTTTACGGAGTTTCATATCATTTCGAAGTGAAGGATGGTCTTTTTTCTTGGGCAGGAAGGTCCTACATGATATGTTACCAACTTTGAGATACTTAAGGGTGTTATCTTTGTCAAGATATGAGATTCATGAACTGCCTCAATCGATTGAAAATTTGATACATTTACGCTATTTGGATCTCTCTCGGACTCGACTCAAACGATTACCTAATACAGTAACAACGTTGTGCAACTTACAGACATTAGATTTGTCATTTTGTGAGCATCTTATTGAGTTGCCTGTCAACATGGGAAAACTAGTAAAGTTGCGCTATCTTGATATCCGAAAAACTAGATTTGCTGAGATGCCAATGCAAATGAGCAAACTGAAAGATCTCCAACGTCTAACAGATTTTGTAGTTGGCAAGGATGGTGGGTCAAGAATTAGTGGGTTGAAGGAACTCAGTCAACTTCGGGGGCAACTCTGCATTTCAGAGCTTCAAAATGTAACCAGTGGTCCGGAGGCGTCAAAGGCTAATCTGAAAGGAAAGGAGCATCTTGAAGGGTTGGAGCTGAAATGGGGCAGCGATACCGACAATTTACAAAATGAAAGAGTTGTACTTGACAACCTACAACCTCATGCGGGAGTGAAGCATCTCCGTATCATTAACTATGGGGGCACAAGATTTTCGAATTGGTTAGAGAAAGGTGATTTGTTACGTGACATGGTGTCCTTGGATCTTATAGGCTGTAAAAATTGCTCTTCTTTGCCGTCAATTGGGCAGTTACCCTCTCTAAAATATTTAACAATTGAAAGCATGAATGCAATAAGGAAGGTCGGTGGGGAGCTGTATGGGAATGCTTCTTCTTCAATCAAACCATTTAAATCTTTGGAGACACTAAGGTTTCATAAAATGGCAGAGTGGGAGGAATGGGATGCATCAGGGATTGAAGAGTTCTCTAGGCTTATAGAGTTTTCTATAGACAATTGTCCTAAGTTGACCAGTGAATTATCTATCCGCTCCCCAATCCTAACAAAGCTTAACATTTCCAAATCCAATCAAGTTAGGCTGTTACTGCAAGGACTTCCTTGCATTCAGGAGTTGAAGATTCCAAATTTGACGGAATTGCCGCAGCAAATGCAACACCTGTCTTCTCTACAGGAATTGGAGATTTCAGGGATGTCAAACTTGAAGGAATTGCCACAGGAGTTGTGCCGATTAGTAAATCTTGAAAGGTTGAAGATAGAGGAATGCCGGAGGCTTGTGTCATTTCCGGACATGAGGCTGCCGCCGAAGCTTAAGACGCTGGAGATCAAAAGATGTCATGGTCTACAGTCCCTAGCATCAGAGGAAATCATCAACAATTGTCTTGAAGAGTTGCGTATCTCTGATTGTTCATCTCTTCTTCAGGTGTCTTTTCCTATCGCTACATTGAAAAAACTTGACATCTCCAGCTGTATCGCTCTACATTCCCAAGCAGCAGCAACAGTACCATCAGAGGAAATCAATAATATTCGTCTTGAAGAGTTGCACATCTATAATTGTTCATCTCTTGCTAAGGTGTCTTTGCCCACTGCTACATTGAAAACACTTAACATCTCCTCCTGTAGGAGATTAGAGTTTCCCCTGTCCGAGGAGATGAAGGATTATAATTACTCCACATCCATTGAAGTTTTGAGTATTAATGAAAGCTGTGATCTTCTCAAGTCGCTGTGGTTAGGCTTCTTTCCAAAGCTTCGTGTTCTCTACATCAAGTCGTGTATGGATTTGGAAACGCTCTTGATCCCAACCATGCTTCAACATCTGATAAACCTTGAAATAGTGAGTTGCCCTAAAATGGTATCCTTTCCCCATGGTGGTGGAGATAGAGGAGGATCATTGGCCATTCCCAATCTCATGGATTTGACAATCTGGGATTGCAAGAATCTGAAGCGGCTACCGCATCAAATGCACACCCTCCAATCTCTTCATAATTTTCAGATAAAAGAATGTCCGGAAGTTGAATCATTTCCAGACGAAGGTTTGCCATCCAACTTAAGGAGACTTGATATCATTAATTGCAATAAACTGATGAAGGGCCGGATGAGGTGGGATTTGCAGCAAAAACTCCCATCTCTTGAAGAATTCTGGATCGGAAGTGAAAATGAAGAAGAAGAGTTGGAGTCATTTCCGGAGGAGTGGCTGTTGCCCCCCACTCTTACTAGACTTTACATCTGGAACCTTTCAAATCTGAAAGCACTGAACCACAAGGGCCTTCAACACCTCACCTCTCTTACAGACCTAACCATTTGGAATTGCCGTAATCTCCAGTCCTTGCCAGAAGAGGGGCTGCCCAACTCCCTCTCTTTCCTGCTAATACAAACCGAATATACTTCATTGGTGGAACTTGTTCTTGATTGGTCCAAGATTTCCCGAATCCGCCGCATACAGCTCGATTTTGTACGAGACATAATAAACTTAGAGTGAGAATGATTGAGTGGTTTGTAATCGTCCAGAAAAACCGAATCAGGTACTTGTTCTACACTCCCTGCAACTTAACCAAACTGGTTTCTTTCTTCTATCCATTGAATTTCTCTTTCATTGCACTGCAGACTGCAGTGGTGGTGTGACATTATGCTAGTACGTGGTGGAAGTGCTATTATGTTACGGGTACAGGGATAAGTTGCTGTGGGCAGCTTTGTGACTATACAAGGCCACCAAATCACGGATCCTCTCAATGTTCTCTATTCCTTGTTAATTGCTTTCTATCCAAAGTTGTTTTCTTATAATTTTTTATTGAAATCCTCTTCTCTTTTTCCTTCATTTTTTATTTTCTAAGACATATAACACTTTTTCCTGCGTAAGAAATGGTGACGGTTATGTTTGATTAGAATTCTGTTTCTACCATGAAATTTCAGGTAGTTCTAAATCTAATACAACTTTCAAGCCAATGTTCTTCATTTGTTACACAGTACAGTCTTCAAATTCCTACTTGTACACATTATGTCTACAGGAGGACTTAAAAAATAAGTTCTACTTAAAATAAGTTCTACTTAAAAGGAGGAATTAAAAAATAAGTTCACTTATTACTAATCGTTGGACACTTAGAATAAAAAAAATAAAAAAAAAAACCTCAATCTACAATTACTGCTCAAAACTTCAACATTTAAAATTCAATTCTTAAAATTTACTGTACTTAAAATTCAGTTGTTTAAAACTGAAGAACTAAATGTCCAAAAATGCTGGGAATCTCATTATTGTATGTTGAATTTCTTTCATCAACTAATCTGTGTTTTTTTTTTTTTTTTTGGTCTCTCTTAAAGTCATTATGGGTTGATTTTGGCAAGGTACTCCATTCAGATTTTTCACGATTTCTTTTTGTTCAGCATTGCATAAATTGGTGGAAGTTCTCTAGATAGTTGAGGACTGATAAAAAGAGTCAAACACTTTTAAGTGTATCCTCAAGTTTGCACACGGTAAAAAGTGTTTTGGTTCCTGACTTGTTACTCAACATGATATTAATAATTTGATTTTAGAAAAGAGGAGATGGTGGTTGATAAAATGTCAAAGTCTTTTTGGGGTTCAATTATTCATCAAAGTAATATGTGTTCACCACGAGTATGACTTGAATCATTGTATAACACAATTTGAGTATCGATAAAAATATAAGTTCTACTTAAAATAAGGTGAGATTTTAATTGAGTGATTTCACTTATTGCTAATAGCTGGACACTTAAAATATATATATATATTTTTTTAAATGCTCAATCTATAAATACTGCTCAAAACTTCAACATCTAAAATTCAGTTGTTAAAAAAATAATAATAATAAATAAAAATAAAAATTGGACCGATTTAAAATTAATGAGGTAGGCAAATTGACTAGCATATGTTCAAAACACATGCAGACTTCTACTTGAATCATTTTTGGTGAAATATAAAATTGTGCCAAAGCCACTACAATATGGTAACAGACATCTATGGGGTGCTTTGAGTTCAATTCTTATTATTAATTATTTTATTGTTACTGGGTATTATAATTTTCACATTCTTGACTGACAAAACCCATGGATGCCCCTTTTTTTTTTTTCATTTTTTTCTTTTTTTGGCAGGGGACATGTGGATTTTAATGGATACTGTGTTGGAAAACTAATGCTGAATCACAAAATCATGGAACTTATATATATATATATATATATTGCTGGGCTGTCCAGTATTTTTCATTTGGTTATTGAGTTATTGTGAAATTATCTATCAAGTTGTGTAGTGTACTGTAAGACTGTAAGTGATGCCCACTCCTTAGGCATGGGAGACATTTGCTGGTTGGGCTGTTGTGTAATGTAATGGCTGAATTGAATTTGTACTTCTTAATTTCATTTTGTGAAATGTTATCTTTTTTTTTCTTTCTTTTTTTCTTCTTCTTAAATTGCTGGTTGTATGCCAAGGTCTGTAATCCAGCAACATTCCTCTACTTTTGAAAGTGGAAGATGAGGGTTTTACTCTTGTTAGGTACAAATGTGTGCCAGTGTTTCTAACCAACGAAAAATAAAACATTTCTGATTGAACTCTTCAGAAGTGGAATAGTTCCATAATGATATTACATCAAATATTTCCTTCTTTTTTTTTTTTTTTGTGGTTTGTTGATGGGAATATGTAATCAGTACAGAACTTGCTTTCATGGTGGTGTCAAAGTAGTAATGAAAAAGTATAATTTGACCCTCTTCTAGGTAGGGATCCGCTAGTGTAAAGTTTTTAATGCTTGGTTTCATGGTGGTGTCTACAGGACAATCTTACTACTACCTCCGTCTCACTTTAAATATCGGTTTCGGAAACCATGACTCACAAAATGAAATAGAGGGAGTTCTTCAAAGAAAAGAGACAGAGTCAACCCACAAAATCGCAAATATAGTCACAAAACCAGTAATTTCAAACTGGGCAGAAGAAGGGCTGTGACATTGGTTCTGTGGAGAAACATGATTTTTTTGCACGAGTGTGCGACACCGTTCAGCCTTCACTCACCAAGTGGCTTGCAATGATCTGTGTGCTTCCGGTCTCAACTCAACTGGTACAAGGGTTGTAGCTATCTGCTGTTACAGCACCATGCTGTAGGGTTTTTCATAAAAGC